TAATCTGCTGAAAACAATATCTTAAAAATTAATGGTAATTTTAGTTACACTACTTTGATGTGATTTCCGACGTTCTTACGTCTCAGTTTCGTTTCCGCTTCAGTCGAGAGGAAGACTTTTAATGTTTTAAACAGATCTTTAACGTAAAATTGAAACACGCGATAACGTTTCTTTTCTATTTCCCTCAAACTTAAAAAATTGTCTAGTAATAGAAAAATACGATTCGACCGTAAAAATAAAAATATTGTAAATACAAATGTTTTATCACTATTAATCACTTTTACTCAAAATCAATGTTTTACTCAAATGTTAATGACGAACGAAATGTAAAAAGCATATGTATTTACTATAAGGAGATGAAAGCGAATTTTAAAATATAAATGATCTCTTTCAGGATTCCTGAAAGACTGGACCAACAGTTTCGTAGTCTGCCAGCTTGCCCTTATATTAATGAACGTCCTGTTCGTTATTCCATGGGCAGTACAGTTCCTTTCTGTAGATTTACCAAAGAGGAGGAAGGAACGGATGGATAAAATTGCTGCCCAAACTTCCGGTTCCTTTTCTACAGATTGATGCAAAAGGAGAGAGAGAGGGAGAAAGACCTTGTGTGTAATACACGTCTTTACTATTTGATAGTAGAAACTCTTTTGTACAAAAATAAATTTAGATATTTTTTTACGGCAATTAAAAATATTTTTTTACAAAATGTATTTGTTCGTAAAATGGAAATTGTTGTGAATTGGGGGTTACTACCCATAGCGCTAATTATTGCAGTGTGAGATACAATGTACAGATCTTTACAACGATATGTAGTCATTTATATTTTTCAGATCATACATATCAGTTAAACTTTTTACATATTCTATCGTAAAATGCTTTACGAACAATCGGGAAAACCACAAATTTCAATTAATTTAAATTTGTTAAGTATAAGCCATAATATTATATCGGGTGTATATAGACAAATCTTGTATCCAATTCTAAGTCTGTCGCGAATGACACTGAAACGAATATTTTATATTCAAGTTGTTGCACATATCGTGGCAATTATTATTAAATGTAAAAATAAGAAATAAATGAAGAGAACATTGTATAATAATCTTTGTGTATGACTTTTAAAAACGATTTGTTTTTAACTTTTTTAATTATAAATTAATTCATAATTTGTTAAATTCGATTAAATGTGATTCATGAAAAATAATAAGAAAAATTGGAGGATAATATATGATATATATATACAATAATATATCTTATATAGCATATATGTAAGTATATATATATAGCGATAGTCACTATGAAAAACGAAAGATGAATTTGGAATGTGATATTTAATGATAGTTACTTCTTCATTTAATATTACACATATTTTTATACAATTTTGTATAATATTGTTTACGTCTACAGGGACAACAGTAATTTGACAACATGGTCAGTAGATGATGATTGCCAGTCTAAGATTAAAATAACCGTGAACTGATAGTTCCTCGAAATGAATTTTTATTACTTTAATATTTTATTATCTCGGAATTGTATTTCTATGCAACATGCTATAGATAGGTCCTTTTTAAGTATTCTACGTCTTTTCAAGAGTTCAAAAAACAAAAAATGTTATGCAAAGTTTTATTACTAAACCTAGATATAATTTTAACACTTGTGCCATTTATATGCAATCATTGTATATAAACATAATTTATTCACACATATAAGGAGCCTTGAATGTTTTTCTTATAATATACCTATACATATCTATATATATCTAATATAATGTTTACTTATATCATAATCAATTTTACATTACTCACAAAAATATGTGCAGATATTTTGAACATGTTATTACTATTAACGTTAATAATGTAGTACGAATCATCTATGAGAACTTCATTTAAACGAGAACCTCCTGATCGCTTTTGTTTCGTGGCTCGATTTTTATTCAGAAGCCGCCTACTCTTTTGAGAATAATGTCAACCTTCAGCCGGAAGTCCTTTTCTGTGAGATCCGGCAGGATCTTGTAGTTCCGCAGGATCGTCGACAATAAAACCTTTAACTTCAATATCGCGTACTTCCTTCTCACGCATCACCTAAAAAAAACGCAATATAATAACATAAGACACAATCACATTTATAAAAAGCGGCAATGAATCCTCGCAGAGGTTTGTTTTACTCATTAAGTATCATAACAAGTGTCATATTTTGAGTATTTTATATACCTTTGTGTATTACATGCATTCTGTACATTTTCATAGCTTTAAATTTTCCATAAATGCATAAATATTCACAGTCTACTTCTGACATATGAAACGTTTTCTTTAATTAACACTTTACCGACCGCTAGCGATTCAAAGCATACGCACGTCCGACCGGCATCTCAGGCGCAGATTCTCACTGGCGCCGGCTTTGTTTCGGTTTAGACTCTCCAATACCATTCTTTTCGTTCATCGCGAATGGTAAATTTTTCAAATTGATATAAAACTGTGGGAGCGTACAAAGCAACGCAACTGACGCAACTGAGTAAGGTACCTTAGTACTAAATAACAAATTATTGCTCAAATAATGAGAAAGATTGTCAGTGACAAAAAGCCGATTAATAGGCTATCGGTTGGTGAACGTCGGCGACGAAAAAAGCCGATTAATAGACTATCGGTCGGTAAATTGTTAACATAAATACGTTATCGCTTTCCGTCAAAGTAAATTTATTAATGGAAGTTAGTATCTGTACATCTTTTACTTTTATTATTTTTTTATTATTCCTGTTGTGTTTATCATTATATGTTTTCGGAAAACATCGTTGTTTTGAATTTTATGAAACTTTTGCAGCTTTTAAGGTTGGCAATACTAGATGAAAATTTAGAAAATCACCGGCAAATAATATTGTCATTAAGCGCAGAAATAGATCAGATTAGAGTCATGCGAGTTTCGATACGTATATAAAAATGTGCGGTCAGTGAGAGACAGGTTGTTCCTATTTTATCCACTTCTAGGGACTGATGTTTATTATTAAATAACATTACTTGGTATAAATTTTAGAAGAAATATTTATATGCATAATCCAATACCGATACTTCGTTATAAAAGGAACGGTATAACTGAAACGAATGAAACACGAATAACTTAGCACGACGGTGACCGCATGAATTTATCATTATCTACAATGTATCCACTATAAACCTCCCATGTTCACTATTCAACTATTTCGTCGGACTTTGTCAGGCAATGGTACGTAATGCTGACATTGTATGGGCAAAGGCGACTTTGTATACATACTTTAATTACTTAATTCACATTATGTAAAATATAAGGATAAGAATAATGATAAACATAACGATAAGATTAATGAATTGGTGCGAAAATGAAGAAAAGAAATACCTTGGTCCTGCGCTAAAAGGAATGAACGAGTAATAGTGTCTGTTCTGCATTTCTTCCGGCACAAAGTTATCAGGATCAAACACATCAGGGTTTGGATAGAATTTTTTCAATCGGTGAACTCTATAATCAAAATCGTACAACCTTTTGGTAATAAATAATTCCGTCACTGTAAAAGAATCGTAAGATACATCAAATGTATTCTATTTAATACGGTTTTAATCAATAAACTGTCGATAATACAGAGTCGAACTTTAAACGATATTTTAACTAGCAATCATTGATACTGAGGATTTTGATAGAATTAATTTTTATAAAGACATTCGAATAAACTGAATAAATATTATACATTTTCAGGCAATGATAAAATTCATCACCAGAACTATTCGTGGGACAAAACCTGTTCATTTGTAACGGATTTAATTATGAATGATTTTTGATAGAAGAAGGCGTAATATTTTCCAAAAAACTAATTTCTGTACAAATTTCAGCAAACTATCAGCAACCAATATCCAAGTGGTGTCTTTCATATTAAAAATGTAGTCGATTATATTATTTACATTAATATCATTTATATAAATTAAAATTGCAAGTAGATATAATTAATCTGTACGCTTTAATATTTTTAATCTGATTTGAAACCAATGGGGACATTTCGAAAAATTATTTTAAGTGATAATAGAAATATGCCAGTTTATAATAATATCTATTTTGCAATAATGAAGAGTATAGTAAAATAATTATTATTTAATGTTCATTAATTCTGGAAATGTGGCAGCAAGATTTTAACTTCTAGTTGTATGTATTATGTATTATGGAAAAATAAATAACAAATAATATTCGTTTGTTAGATAAAATACAAAACTGACCTATTTTGACGTCGTTGTTGAGATGTCTTGCAATGGCGGGAACTGGTGGAAAAAGTCTTAATGTTTCGTAAATTATTCTTTCGAGATATTTCATTTCTAGAGTATCTTGGAAAGTGCAAGGCCTATTTGATTCCCCGAAAATCTCGTTTAGTTCTTCGAATACTCGTTCCTGTAATAATTATTGTATTTTACAGATAATAAAAATACAGAAAGTATTAAGCTTCACAAGATAGATAATTAAATGAAATATAATAAATGAAAGATTAATAGTTTGTTCTTATAACCTATTTTCATATAAAAGAAATTATTTGAAATTAGTAACGATGATTGTTAGAAGAAAAAAAAGAAGAACTTGTAGAAAGCAATACATTCTTATTAAAATAAGCGAAAATATATATTAACAATTAATAATATATGTTTTACACGATTGAATAATATTTAATACGTTTAGCAATTTTTAATTACAACTGGAATAGTTTATTAAGTAATCATCAATGAAATAAAAAATTAAATTAGTAATTTAGTTCTTTAGCAACAAATAAAGTTTTAATTAAATTGTAATTGATAATTAATGTTTTTAATCAACGTCAAGTTAATTACCAGTATCTGTAATTATCGATTAGTTTCATGGACTGATTAACTCAACTGCAATTTTTTTTACGATCTGTACGATAGACTAATGGTAGGTTTAAAATAAAACTATAGATGATCTGAGAAAGACAAATAGATTCATGTCCATAAAAAACTAAATTCATCAAGATATCCCTTACTTGAAAACTTCAAGTTATATTGTAATCGATCAACATCAACTTAGGACTTAGAGGAATGGTAAAACATTAACCTTCAATTATTACACAGACAATCGATGTAACCTTTTTCACCGAGAGGAAATTTTTGTGCGAGAATGGGAGATCCAGTACATGGGAAAACTTTATTTCTCAGAATGTGTGGCATGTGTCATACGTGTAATAAAGACGAGCGACATAAAATAGGTCCTAACCTTTTTGGAATATTTGGCAAAACATGTGGCAGTATGTGTATATTATCTTTGTATATTAATTAATTTTTACACTGAAATACGGAAAAATATGTTTTGCGTATGTTACATGTATATTACGTACATATAGGATACGAGTAAATATACATATGATTTATGTAGGGACATATACAAAACAATCATATATTATATATGAATGGTAACTAAATACTATTTTCGTTTCGTATTTAACATTATATATAAGTACAATATAAAAAACTATGTCTTCAATCTATATTCCAAATATACCGACGTAATATTTAATTTCATATGATAATTTTACTTATAAATATCGTTTATTCAAATTCCATTCGCACAATACACTATCCCATTTTTATTAACTTTTATTTCTAAAATATACATTTAACCCAATATAACCATATGTGGATTATAAATATACAAATGTTACTATGCTACACATATATGTTTCTCTTAGTTTCCAATTAATTAAGAAAATAGGAGTATCTTCCATCTTTCTCATTATGAAAATATTCTTTCCTATTTGGTTTTTCGTTATCTTCGTATACCCAAATTATATCGACACACACATTCATAGAGGCGATAGGTACATTTAATAATACATATGACGTGAATAATAAAATGTTTGTTTAACTAAATGTAAAAAAATACCTAAGAGAGCAAAAAACCTCCTTTTATTTAATTTATCGCTTTATAAGTATCATATTTGTTAAAAGTTCATGTAAAATCATTTATAAAAAATTATAAATTTAGCTGTACCTGGATTTAAATCTACCGATGCGATGAGAAAAAAAGGTGTTGTATGGGACGAGAACACTTTAAACGAATATTTACAATTTCCGAAGCAATTTATCCCTGGCACGAAAATGATGTTCAATGGTATTAAAAAAGCGGAAGATCGTAGAGATATAATCGCTTTCTTAGCAACGTTGAAATGAAAATTCGAAAAATTGCATCTACTTATGTGAAATATTTTGTACAGTGACCAAAATAAGGTATTCTTAGCGTTAGTTCGATGAAAATAAACAAATAAAATAAATAATAAATTAACAAAATTAGAGAAAAATGACTCGTTAGATTTGTTGCCCATATTTTAATGCACTATTACTCTACTCACCTGGATGTCTTGATGAATTCCAAGCACGCAAAGAACGAAGCTAGAACCTGCAGCGGTAGTGTCATGACCCTAAAATGTATGTAACGTCCTTTCATTATACGAAAAAAGCATTTTTATATTTATTTTCTGTTTTATTCGAAAGAAATTTTTTGATAAAAGGAGATTATGTAACATCTAAAAATTTATAAGCTTTTATTTTTAAAACAAAAAGCTATAACTTTGTACTAAACACTGTAAAATAGTGTCATTTTCAGTTTAAAATGTTTCTTTTGCATAAAATTTATAGAATAAATTTAGTTTAAACATTTTCTTATGACATATTACATACGAAGAATGAAAGATTAATTATTCATATGATTTTCCAGACAATTGAGAGTAACATACAATCGAAAGCATGTTTCGAATTCACTTAGCTTAGTTTATCATAAAATTAAGCGACAAGGTTTTCTATATATATTATAAATAAATAATTATTAATTGAACTGCTTTACATATGAAACTTTCGTTAAACCGTAGTTTATTTAAATATATATACTTTATTTTAAGAACTTTTGGAAGGAATGTATGATTACTTCTATTACCTCAAACATTATAGTATCTATTTCTTTTCGAATTTCTTGATCGGTCAGTTTCGCACCATTTCTTGAAAGCTCCAATAAAAGATCCAGGAGAGCAAATCTTTTCTTTTCACCAATACCATTTTCATCGATATCGTCTAAATCATCTCTAACATAATGCATTTTTGGAAGATTTTTATACTTTTCATTTACATTTGCGCCATCCTTCTGCAACATGTTTATTTCTTTTTATTTCGTTTGTTTACTTTTAATGCTTAAATAAGACGTGAATACAGATGTGCGAAACAAAGATTAATTTCAACAAATTGAGCTATAGTTTGTTATATTTTAAAAGGTGAAAAATTAAAAAATGCTAATCGTGAAAGGTATAGTCATTTTTAACTATTACATTACGTGTAAGTAAGTAATATGCTATACATACACGTATACACGTACCTTAAGATGAAAAGACGATTATAACAATAACCGCTAGATCGTTGATGTGGAAACAAGTACTTCCGGAAATGACGTAGCAATTTGCCGATCACCCCCTACATGGTACGTGTCCGGAAATCGACCCTGTAAGATAATAAAAAAACAACGAGGAGGGTTGTATAGATAGAAAAGGTACGAAATAGGGGGGCGAGAAAAAGGAACTTTCCCTCGTCGAGTTCGGTTAAGCGGGACCAATTTCACGAAATTACAAAATTATCGATGGACGCCAAATCAACCACCCTTTATTACTACTACCGGCGCTACTTCCTGACCAACCGAATTGTTCACAAACAGGCGACTGACACGCCTCGATGAAAATACGTTTGTAACCCATCAAATGCACAATACATTCTTTGAAATTATTTTTTCAAAATAAAAATAAATACGATGTGGGTTGCAAATAAACGATACCGATTAGAAATAAAAATTATAGAATTATTGTATTGTATTCATACTCGTATAATCTAGTCATACGATATTTGTTAGATTAATTAAATAGTATTGTTTACAAATATTTAGATACTTTGGTTGAATTGTAACAATAACACACCAATGGAGTTAGAATATATGGAATAATGACATACCAATGATATAATCGATTATCACGGATTATTACGGATTTAAATTATGTATCAAAAAAGCTTGTTAATAGTATGTATGAAAATTAAATAAAATAAAGAACTTTTGAAACATGTAAACAATCTCATAAGATTAATTATCAGCGGATGGTAATTTTTTTATTACATGTGTATTCATTTGTAAAAATTAATTTTATTGCGTCATAATAGTCGACTATGCATATGTATGTATCTATGGAAAATAATCGCATTTTTTTATTATTATACATTTATGTAAATTTGTAAAATTATTATTATTAAATACAGAATATCATTAAATACTTCTATATATACATACGGAAATTAAAAATATTTGATGATTAGAGATATGTTTATAGTAACATGAAATTCAAACATTTTTAATCTTATTCTGTCATTATATCTAAACCCCTTTCGATTAATATTCGATATCATAACCGATACTTTTAGGAAAGTTACACAAATTATATTTTTACTAAAATCTATATTTAAAAAATATAATAAATAAAAGATACGAAAGACATAAAGAAATCATTTAAAGGAAAATGTTAGTAATGTAAATAAAAATAAAATTTTATGTATATGTATAAATATATAAACGTGAGTCATTTATTTTAATTGCAGGTAAACAATATTTATTATTCAACGCGGACATGATCGGCAAATACTGTATTTGAATTTCAGTTTGAATGTAAACATATTGAAACAATAATGAATACCAGACGCCATGTTTCTATCATATATGTATACCATTTCGAATGAAAAATAATTTCTTTTCCTCTTTTGCGGTATACATACATATGTATGTGTTATAAAATGTTCCGGTTAATGTTTGGTTATTTTAGTTAGTTTTCTTATGAAAAAACGATACTTTACAAATGTCGTGAATAAAAGTACTATTTGGTTAGTGTATCTTCTAGAAATTATCATCTTATAATCTTGAAAATGATATTTGCAGAATTTTGTACTTGAATTTCCATTGTAACGCGAATGAAAAATGAAATAAATTAAAAAAGAGAAATAACAAAGTGTTTCTATACTATATGATATGTGAATGGATTAAGAATAGAGAGAATTGAAAATATTTATGATGCTTACACATATATCCACATGTATAGATATTAAACACCAATCAATATCGGTAATTATTCTCAAAATTTTAGAATTATAGTTCTTATCTGCCTAACAGGTAATAATAAGATTGGAAATTATTGTTTAATAATAAAATGTACAAGATTCTATTTACTATAAAATCTGATTTATAAATTCTAAGGAAAGAGAGTGTAAATAAATTCCTTCATTACGTTGAAGATTAATTAAACAAACAATATTATTATAATCGTACGCACTTTAACGAGTCTTCCACGATCACTTATGAAGGTATAATAAATAAATAACAATCGAATTGTATAAATAATAAAATGTATTTTAAATATTTCATAAAAACTGTTACAGGAGATACAAATTAAAAAATCCTTACGGTACAGGACTGGGAATTTAATATAAATGTTTATAGCGAGTAGCTGAGTTTCGAACGATAAAAATGCGAGGAAGATACCGATTACTTGAAATTAGACTACGAAAGAAACATGTATGGTCAGATGATCAATCACCCAAGATCGTGAATGTGATCAAATGTGTTCTGGGAATATTTACAATAGATCGGACTGAGTGACAGTGGTAGTAAAATAGAAAAAGTGCAAGTTTCAGTATATATTGTGTGGAAAATATGGAATTTTTCTGTTTTAAAAATTCTTTCCTTTCTCCACTGTCCTACAGGTCCAACATCAGAAGGATACATACACTTTACATTATAATTTTTCTAATACACGCAATAAAATGAAAATACGCCACTCAGTACAGAATATTTCGCTCATAATAATAAGAAAAAATTACACGCAGGACAGTCGTTGACTGGAATTGAGAGCAAAAATCTTTTTGTATTGTCACATCTTATTGTATAAGAATTATTCTATTATAATATCTTTACATTTTTATATGAATTTATGCGTGGAACTAACTCAACCGAAAATCCCAGCTTTTCGTCATATCGAAGACAGCTTACCAGTAAAATTCCTACCACTGTAGTTATATTTAAGGCACTTGTATTTACAAAGATTTTTTTATCGTATCGTACGAACGCAAAATAATTTAAGACTTCTGTGCAAACTTCCTCCCTTCTATATAATTGGACGTACGTACTGTGCGTTTTATAATTAAGTTAGGAGAAATTGCTACATCGTTAGTAACTTAAGTTCGCATTTAATTAAATTAATAGAAATAAACAAGTACTTTAGGCTAATGCAGAATTTACAACAAATCGATATTTTTCATCATAGTGAAAAATGTGCCAATGAAATACATACATATAGTATACAAAAAAAAAGTTTATGATACACAGTGAATTACAAAGACATTCGAATATATGTTCGAATATAATACGGTTCTAGCCTTTAATAAAAGATTGAATTATCTCATTGTCCTGTAATAAAATATGTTAATGGGTCTGGTAGGATCCTAAAATTTCATTGGTAAATCTTTTACTGCTTTACAGCAGCTCACGGAAATATTTGAACACCTATTATAGAATTCTTTTATGAATATATTACGTACTTTTTGAAATTTAGTTAGCACTCTAATAAAATACGACTACCGTGATTATAATAGTAAAATTTTGATGAAATTTCAAAATTTTTTGTACGAAAAGTACCTAGAAAAGTACTCTCATGAGCTTTGATATATGATTTTATGTATCTAGCTACGATAATCATGAAAAAGTAATATATTTGGTATCAAATGTGAATTTTATATCAACGAAATTTCAATTAATAATAATTAATATATTAACAATTTATCAATTGAATAAATTTCTATGGTAAATGTTACATAAACATTGTATATTTATATTTATATTTATATTTATATAATAGATATTTCCAAATTTTATTTAAATATAATCTTTATTATCTGAATATATGTAACTATAAAAATTTCAGATTAATTTTTCATATATTCAAGACTTTTACTGTAATTATTCCAATGATTTTGTAACTCACGTAACATTCTTGTATAAGAATAAACTAATTACAATGGATCCGATCGTAAACTCGCAGTCAGGTTTTATAAAGATATGCAATTTTGATTTAATTGATTAATATTATGTACTCCTAATACCGAACGATCAAGAACCAGTATAATTTGTATAATAATTCGTTTAAATTTTCCTTTTTCTTAACATAACAGATACTGACCAAGACTTAATAGTAATTAAATAATATCGTGGGAGTAACATTTTCCATTTTTGGCACGCGAAATTACTTTTTTTTTCCTTTTTCGAAGCGTATTGCCTTATGTATTATAATTAATTCCTAATGAGTGGACAACGTTATAAATATAAATATTAAAACGTTTCTTAAATACTCGTTAAAAAGTTAAAGTAGAAAAAATACAATTCCCCTCAATTTCATTTAAGGCACTTCCGTATATACACATTCTTCGATTTTACTGTACCGCTTTTCATTCTTATATTGTCTTTAATCTAATGATAATTCGCATAATACTAGTACGAGGTCAAACATAACATCCTGGACGTGAAACTACATCACCTTTTCAGAAAATTTATTGCTTTGCCTAACATTGCGTCAAAGTTTGGTAGTAATAAATCAACTTTAATAAGAATTTTTATTTTATGAGTAATAAGAGTACCGCCTCTCGTTTGTAAATCATATTTCTAATTTACTATAATATCCTGTTGTTGAAGTTTCAGTATTTCTCTAAAAATATGTTTATTTAACAAGAATATGTTTCGCATATACAGAATGTTCGTAAAATCGTAGTATAATCATAACCGGAAGTTGGTTTCTCACGCAGAATTAACTTGAAAGTAAAATAAAATTTCATATTTTTCATTTTCCCAATTCAAACGTTCGCCAAGTACCTACACCTGCTCCATCTTGTTTCGTTCGCTCAATTTTGCTTGTTATCACTATATTCCGTTTACAGAATAATATCGAATCAATCAGAAGTTAATAGGACCGTAGAGAATAATGAACAACGAGGATTTTTATTTATAGCCAAAATTGACTATCAGGATGGAAAATGTAAATGAAGTAAAAAAGATATTGCTGTTTATTAATTTTTGAATGTCTGATATTGTTTGTTAGCGCAAACATGATTGGTGACGACTAGTCCGATTGAGTAAAGGAAGCAGATTGCATCTAGCAGTAAAGTGGAACCGTATTTAACGAAATTCAAATTTGATTTTCTCGAAAATGAAACTTTATATGAAAAAATTTTAATTTATATTTATGACACCGTTTTGCGTGAGAAGTCATCTTCATTTCCATTGTACCACGATTTCACAATTAGCCTGTATAAATAACATGAACAACAGTATGTGTTAAAACTAATTCATTACCATTTATATTTCACGATATCTACAAAATTTCTTGTTCGTAGATATCTTAAAATCTTATTAAATGGCAAAAAAAGAAAGAAAAAACAGAAATTTCTTTGTTATTTCTTGCTTATGGTTTACAAATACTTAAATTTTTTGCTTGCGAGATCTTAAATGGTATCGTATATTTATTGGTATGGAGTGACGAGAAAAGCATAATTAAAAATTCGTTAAAATATCATATGTATATAACTATTATGTCTTATGTAAACCATAGAACGTGTACTTATGCAATATTTTAAAAATTTGAAATGTAATATACGTACAGTTGTTTTATAAATAAGATATAAATTTTCATCAGCTGTATTTTTATATCTGAATCACGTTGAAAGACAACAAAATGTATAAATGCAAGTACTATGCAGAAGTGAGAAGATAGTTAGTGAAATGGCACACAAGCAAAATAAAGTACATTCGAAAATCTCATTATTTTATTTTCAACAGCACAGAGATAGATAGGAATAATTACGTTCCATCTTGTTGATTTGTTCTTTACCTTGTATTAACGGTAATTACTTTGGATCCACAGAATACTCTGAAGTTTGTATCTTATTCGATCTCAAAAAGTCCTACTTGTCCTCTTCGTCACGCGATGTCATACATTATTTGATTTGAAGTATGTAGAATCGTGATGATTATGTATTTACGAGGAATCTACGAATGCAAAATACCAAAAAAATGAAGAAGAATTCCAAATTTGCATAAACATCCGCAGTTTAGAAATATGGTAATAACAAAAATTTCTTTTGCTAGTCAATTTCTTACCTCTGCACAGTATTTAGGTATGTACTTAGATATACTGAATTTTTTAAAGAATTTAAATATTCACTATGGTCGTTAAAAAACTTATTTACTTATACTTGAATTTATAAAAATTTAATAAATTTGTCAATCTTTCCTCGTAATTCAAACACACATATTACGATTTTAAGGAATTACTCTAATTAATGCAGAAATCACTTTGCTTATAGTTGAAATAGTTGTATTAAGGCACTCGAGCGAGAAACGTTTTGCTATCGAATTGGATCACGCATATTCTATATGTGTTATCAAATAAAAAAGATAAAACCGAGGCGGAAAGACATCATAGGCAGTGGTGTCTTTGTGGAAGTACTTTGTGCGGTAAGTACAGGTTTTGTCGTTATTCTTACTGCCACGTTAAAATCGATTGGAATTTGGTTCCGAAGCAACTCTTCGTGAGATCACTCAAACGAGTTGTGTGTCTAAGACTTTCTATGAGACCTGTAACATACAAGAAATAAAAAAATTACTAATACGAATTATGATGGAACAGCAATAATGGAATGTAGCAAATTTTTATCAGCTTCAAATCCAACAAGATCAATTACTTTAATTAAGTACTTTTCATAATGTTAAATTGAATTAAAATAAATTATATACTGGAAAATATTACAAAAGGATTAAGAATTAAGGAAGAAGTATTTATTTATAGCAGTAGAAAATATATTATACATAAAATAATTTAAGAGATGTATAATCATTTTATTCCAGTATAACAAGGAACTATTGATACTTTTTAATGTTTAACATAGCATAGAAGGGATAGGAAATGATATTTTCTAAAAAACAAATAATTAAATTAGATTGAAACTCTATTATTTACAATATTTTATTATGCTACTTACTATGTTATAGTCATGAAATCAATGTGATTTTTAATATGATATATATTTGACTTGTAATTTAATTTCCTTCCGGTATACAGGTCTACATGGAAACGTTTCCCTTCATTATCATTTACCATGAACTACATAATTACTTATTATGTGCCATCGTGGACATGGAAAAAAACAATACGACAATGATTAGCTATAGCCATATTATTAAGATAATTTTTTCTCATGAGAAACCGTTATTTTAACGGAACCCCTCAAATTCTTCCTGAGTGATTTATTTCAGAAATCAGTTTTTATATTTTCCCCAAATGGTTTAAAAGTTTCTACGGGAAGAGGAAGAAGACTCCTATATAACCTCGGGATACTATCCCACCTGGCCATTGTATTTCTTTCAGCTCGATCGTGAAGATCCTTATTTACCTGGATCAACGAGAATTAAGTACGGAAACGAACAGACGAATCTTAGAGACACCCTGTTGCAACTCCAGAGATCGTGGGAAAAGTATACGCATTTGGGAGAGAATTCACGGAAGTACCCATCACTTGATGACAACAGGAACATATACTTTTCCTCACCAAAATTTGTATTGTATGATTCATGGACAGAATTAAGTTAATTTTACAAATCAATATTTACATAGTACCAATTAGCAATTGTTTCGCTAACTTCATTCATAATCATTTATAATTTACTTGAATCTCCATAAAAATGGCCAAATACTAATTAAAACATGATTAACTAATGAAAGTGCTTCTTAGAGAATACAATATGTTTTTTATTTAATAAATCATTCTATATGATCTTTTACAAAAACTATGCAATATTAGACAAGATGTACAGTCTCTCCGTAAATAATCTAAGACTATATAATATGTATTATAGTACTCTTTATCTTATGACAATTTCGACTATTATGGTTAAACAATTTATTTACAGGAATAACATTATTGATTTCAACTAATCACCTGATACTATAAATTTTATATGTTCAAAAAAATATTATTTTTATAATAGTTTTATGAGTATTAATAATTTCCTAATGTGCTACATTTCACGGAAACTCATAGTAAAAAAGAATATTTAGGGAACATATCGCTATATTATTCATGTAAATGGCATAAATGCAGTGAAGTTAGAATAAAAGCATCAATAGCACTTCTACTGGAAAATGTCACATGCTATATTACCACTAACAAATAAATGTTAATTATATATAAAGTTGCGATCCTTGAAGAGTATCACTTCCAGATAAAACCAAAAAAAAAAAAAAAAAACGAGAAAGACACTGCAAGGACATTTGCTTATCAGTAGCAGGGCGCGACTTGAAATTGCTTTTAAGAGGAACACTCTGAAATGTTAAAGAACCACAGAAAGTGGTTCTTTAACCGAAAAGCGTCTGGAACATTTTCATTTTATCGCACATCATATTTTATCGCATTAGTGGAAAACGTAGGCGTAGTAGAGAGCTAAAGAAACAACGGCGAAATTGATCTTGATCTTAAATTTCAAATTTTTTTATTACATCGTGTAAGTCATGTCACAAGGGACGTAGAACACATAGAACTGAGTTTGGTTATAATACGTTAAATCTCGCAGTCAGGTAGAATTTACATAGCGTGCTATTGATGAAGCTAGTAGCACTTATTCTTTGGTACGTGAAATATATCGACAATCGGCAAACAACAATGGAAGACCGCTGCGGTTCAGGAAAAATTTCAGATCGTTGTGATTTTCAACGATTGGACCATTCAATGGATTTCAGTTCGGTTGGATGGATTACATCCGTTGAACAATTTGAACATCAGATTAAATATACCTTCCATCATGTAAAATCATTTCACATAATACCTTGGGGAGACTTAGGCGGAATATGAAAATGCGTGTCCGACGTTGCTTAAACGACAGTAGTGACCATGTAGAAGTTGCCACGTAGACATGAACATTACACAGATACGACAGGACAAAAAGGAAAACATGGAATATCGAATAATGTATCCGAGTATCCACGTGCGACAATAGATGAGGCTTACCCTACATCTGACTGCAAGGCAAATATATTATTTTTAAACAAATATGTTATAAAGAAAATTAGGTTTAGCTAGTATATACAGTTAATGAAAATTTAACACTTTCTTTCCAAGAGAACGATTGAGTTGAGGGACCCACGGTCCCTTTGCGACTTTTATATCTGATAACAAATTCCACAGAATGTAATGAAAAATAATTTAATTTTAAAATCCAATATCGGAGTTAATTTTGCGGATACTTTTTTAAATAAATCTTCACCGTGCCGATCCGAAGGTGTAGAATCACCTGTCAAAGCCATGATAAGTAATTTTTTAACACTCGATGCATAAATTTCATGTACTATTATTATTTGTATTATCAAATTTATATCATCGTATTATCGTATTATTATTTGTATTATCAGATTTATATCAATTGTATTATCAAATTACCTATTTTACTGACTTAATTTTTTCGTATCAAATTTATCCAAATTTATTGGCATATTCATAATCAGGAATTTAACAGTATTATGGAATTCAATATAGTATAATAAATAATATATCTTCTTTGTTAGAGTAATACTTATTTTCCTACTGCAACTATTCAGATAACAATAATCGCATTAATTTATTCTATATTTGTTTAAGTTCTCTCTAGTTCTTAAATACATAATTTTAATAATATATTTCTTAATATACAGTTAGTATGCAGATAAGTGTATGTATGTACTAAGTAGACAATATGATCTGTTTAAACTTTTAAACTTCGAATATTCGTATTACTAATTCTAAATAAAAATCATTTAATGTGTAAAAAATAGATATAATAAGGCGAAAAATAATCTATCTTTTATTCTATTATCTTATTATATATCTCTATATCCCAAATGTATGTTTTAATTGTAACTCTATTGTCTTTTTTTATATTTAACTTACTCTAAACTTCTGTAGATAATTAAAGTACACAGTGAATAAGGTACGTAATTAATATTTTCACAATAATAAGGAAACAGTCTAGTTACAATAATTAATCTGGGAATTAATTATATATAATGTATGTCTGTTGCGGACATTCGGTAACAAAATAAAAAATAATTTTGAAAATTATTTTTTCATTGTTTTGATACACTATAAATATATAATGTACATGATAAATTAGTAATATTAGTGTTTTATTATATGTGAAAATATCACAGCCGCAAAAATCAGAAATAAAAATTATTTTGATGTTCCAATGTGACTTGTAATTAATGGTATATATGTGTAATACTAGACACATATATTAAAATGTTTCTAAAAGATAAATAAAACAATTCCAATTTTTAAAAACACGGATCTCGTTCGCGGAAAAGGTTTAATTTCTAAACAGCATAATCGGCTGCAAACCGTCTCCGATACGGACGCCGTCACATTGTCATGCTGGTAATGTTTATTGATAAGATAGGCAACATGCGGGTTACCAGCATGGCAAACCTTTAAATTCTTTTGTTCTTGGCGCACCAAGTCGAAGGAGAAGAACAACAGCAGGCTTACATAAATGTTACTACCATTTTATTTTATGACGCAGTTGCACGTCTTACTACGTTTGTTTTTTAAATGGAAATACTGGATACGTATACTATTAAGTTGGCTTCAGCAAATACTAAATAATTCAAAGAAATCATCTGCTTGCCCTTCCTGTAACTTCTTCTATAATTAATATCTTATAGGTAATTCTTCCTAACTATTTATTTTTTAAAATATCCTATTACGTAAATATATTAATTCTGCACATAAGTCATATATTCTCCCAATTATAAATATAAATTAATATATTTTTACAACGACAATGTATTCAGCAACATGAAACTCCGAAATATAAATTAGCTTGATTATTGTCCAATCGTGAAATTTAATCGAACATATTTTTCTTGTGATCACGATGGACAAAGATTAACAGACTGTCGCTATTCCACTACACTCTCCAGCAATAACATCCTTTACGTTCGCAAGAATAACATTTGTACCTATCACTTACGACTAAACGTAATCGCACGTTGTATGTCACGCGCCCCGAAGAAAAATTCTCTCGATTAACAGCGGGATTAAAACGCTACCGATGTCGGCGTATCTTTACCCGCCATAAGAAATTTCGGTCGGCGTATGAGGATGCATAATCATTAGTTAAAGAAGAAATTTCATCGAACAGCTTCCGGCTTTTCGTACGGTCGCCGGAGAAAAATAGTCGCGATTATAGCAAGGTTAAAGTTTCGGCGTGCTCGTTACGAGCACAACAGTGCAGACAGAGGAGAACGAAACAAAACAAAAGAAAAGAATAAAAGAGAAGAAAGGAGAGGTCAAAAGAGAGTAGTGCGGAGCAGAGTAAGATGGAGAAGCCGAAAGAAGGCCGATGGGCTCGCGCGCAACGGGACGATATCAACGTGACCGGGAGCCAAGGAAGGAATTTATTAAATTAATTTGCCGCGGCGACGCATCTCGTAAATTTCGTAGATGACCTCACTTTATAATTGTCGAGAATTACTTGCTTGGTTGTCCACTCGTTCGGCCCGACTCTCGCGTGGAACTTCTTACTCCCTAGGATACACATTTTATTGC